GCCGCACTGGTTATGAATGGAGCCTCACCGTTCTTACCTCCGGGGAGGGGTTTTGCTTCCAAAGTCTCTTGCTCCCACTGGCCACCCCTGCCATTTGCGTCCCTGGGACTCATTCTCTTCCTGCCGTCTCTTCGGGGTGGCTTTGGCTTTCCTTGACTCAGAGCTGCTTCCGTTAACGGTGCTGAATGACGATCGGGGTGGGGGGAAGCTGTCGTAATTGCATAATCCAATTAGGTATGAATAAACGGGGTGTAGCTGATCATTCAACTGATTTTCACTCGAACGATCTCTTTGTTACCGTGTCATCCCATGAAAGTCGGTAGTCACCTGGAGCCTAAGATGTGTCTAGATCACCTCCTGACCTCCCCCACCCCCTGCCGCCACCACTCACCTTTCCCACTGATTATCAAGCTCTAAGCATTATTTAAAACTCTCCAACCTCTGTCCTAACCACTTCTGGTATGACAGTCTTGGAGGCAACCTGTTGATCCAGTATTTTCCAGGTACGCACGCTATCGATCGGAGGTCTAGAGAGAATACATTCTGCAGAGAACACTTTTCTGCAGTATAACATATCTTCTCTCTGTCCTAAGCAAATGATTATGCACTGTATATTTGGATTCGGGGCATGGGGGGAGGATGTTGATTGTTTGGCTTTTGTTTTGATGGCAAGTATTGTGTGCTAGTCTTGTCTACCGTAGGAAGACTCTAATAAGTTGGAAAACTTGGTCCTTGGAAAATCAGATTCCCTGGAGCCGGCTAACAAATTGTCAGATGGGAGAGAATGGCTCTCACCTTCCCTAAAGGTTGGGATTTACATCAGCAAGAATCCGTTAGCCAAGATATCCCACAGAGAAACTGGTCCTGGCACGTCCTCATCTGCTCCACTGGGCACCACTCAGGCTGCCCAGGATTTCGTTCTCTTACCTGTAGGTGACCTGGATGCCTTCAGAGAGATGCAGGACTTGTGAGGTTTGCTTAACAGGGACTCCTGGGCTACTTGTTTGCTGGATAGAGAGTCCCTGGGGCTGTAGATCTGAGTGCTGGACTTGGAGAGAACTTCTGTGAGGCCGTTTTCTTCCCTGTCTTCCTCTTTGTCCCTGGTCTTCTGTTTGGCCCGTTCCAGGGGGTACTGCCACTTTATATTCTCGAATTGGAACATGAGAACATTGCTCTCCGTGTTGATCACCATCCTGGAACCAAAGCAACAAGATTGGGAGGCCGCAACTGCCCAGCTTCCAGATAGCACTTGGACTACTGTCGTGCCCAGTCCTGAGGCCGAGGGATCAGTGCCACAGACAGGGCGGTGTAGGTCGCTGGAGGGTCTAGAGCGGAGAGAGGCAGCCGGCCGTGCTGCAGGGGGTCGTTAGCTCTGTAGCTGTTTTCCTTAAAAATTAAATGTGAGCAAGGCACATACATTCTGATTACTTCGCTTCTTGGGTTAAAATATTTTTAAATGAATTTCTGTTCCTGGAGTGGGCGCCAAGTACCTGGGGTGCCCGAGGCAGAAGGCTTAGCTACTCTGCACACAGATGTCTTGAAATTCATT